CAGTTCCCCGGGGAAGGCGGAAGTGGGCTCTTCATTAGCACCTTTCTCTGGGGCTCTTTGAGCTTAAACTTCGGAGAGCTCAGTGGGCAGTTTGTGAATGTGGCTTTGTGTTTAGCAAGAGAGGCTGCATCCTAGAAGCTGATAGGAGCCACCCTGGGCCCCCCGGTCAGAGTGCAGCCAGGTTTCCACCTTGTGTCAATTGAACAGGCTCCCTAGCCGCTGTTCCTGTCTGTGAAATGGACAGGCAGAGTCCCACTCTGCAGAGAGCTGGAGGGGACCAGATACCACAGGGAAGGCCAGCGCCATGCGGGCGTCCACTGATGGGTGGCCAGGCTGCTGTTCACATGCAAAGTAAGCAACCAGGGGCTTTGAGAAATACACACTTCACTCCGGCTCAGGTACGCACACTCACATGCACACACACCACACACATGCACACACCACTCATATGCACACACACACCACACATATGCACACACATTGCAATTGCTCACACACACAGCTGGTTCATGACAGAGCCAGAACTCATAGTCATTACCACCCTACCATCCATCACAGTCTGAAGTTGTCATGAGGACTCAGGATGGAAAATTCCAGAATATCAACAACATGAGAAGAGTATAGCCTCCGACTCCAGTTCCAAGGACAGGGCAGAAGAGAAGTCTCTGGAATCACTGTAGGTCTGAGAAGTGGCTTTGCCCACCTGGTGCAGGGTGAGTGAGATGAGCCGGGCCACACCCAACCCCGCTGAGGGAAGTGTGAGGTTGCGCTGAGTGAAAACGGACCGTTCCATCACAGCACTGGATGTGAGAAAATCGGACGTTTCTGACAAAAGACGGATGAAGACCTCTCAGCTCAGGACAGCTCAGGGTAAGGTGAAAAAAAGCTACTTGTTGATACACTGTGTAATAATGAGTCTGGCCACTCTCTGCCCACCACGCTTCTCACCCACTCCTGTGAGGTAGCCTCTAAAGGCTTAACATTTTTTTTTTCTTTTGAGATGGGGTCTGGCTCTGTCACCCAAGCTGGAGTACAACGGCGCGATCTCAGCTCGCTGCGACCTCTGTCTCCTGAGTTCAAGCAATTCCCTGCCTCAGCCTCCAAAGTAACTGGAATTACAGGCTCCTGCCACCACGCCCGGCTAATTTTTGTATTTTAAGTAGAGATGGATTTCACCGTCTTGGCCAGGATGGTCTTGAACTCCTGACTCTGTCTCCCAAAGTGCTGGGAGAAATGTCTCTGTTACTCATAGTGGGTCCTTGGACAACAGCTGAGTCTATGCCCACAAAGTGACTCATGGGGACCCCTAGAAAACCTGTGCTCGGGAGGTGACTCCTGATGGGGCTGGTCCTACCAGAAAGGCCACTCATGCAATGGCAGGAATGTTGGGGGGTGCTTTGAGCCACGGGGTATTGGCTGGTCTCCCACCTCCAGGAAGGGGATGAAGCTGGAGGCTGAGTTCCACTTCCTGGCTGTTGATTCAGTCAATCGTGCCTACGCAATGGAACCCCAGTGAGAACTCTAGACACCAAAGCTCTGGGGAACATCCCTGATTGGCACCTCTCTGTGGGTGGTCACCCACCCATGTGCTGGGAAGGAAACCAGTCCCTGGGGCTGACGGAAGCCTCCCAGGACTCGCCGTAGGTAGCTCCCTCTGTATCTGGCTATTACTTGTATATTTTTGCCATAATAACACAGTCATTGTAAATGTAGCACTTTCCTGAATAGTTTTAGAGATTTACTGAGACTGAAGAAGTTCCTGGGGACCCCTGACTTGGTAGCCAGCTGGCCGGAAGTGGCAGTGGCTTGGGCACCCTGACTTTGCAGCTGGGGTCCTTGTGAGGACAGTGCCGTTACCCGTGGAGTGTGGCTGACTCCAGGTAGTTTGTGTTCCAAGTCATTGCACAAAGAAATAACACAACACAATGTTGAAATGTTAAACACCCGAGAGCTGCTGGACGATTTTAATTTCTAACAGTGTATTTCAATGTAAATGGAATTAAATGGAATAAAATACCAGTGGATGCTGTTAATACCGTAATTCTACAATGAAGATAAATTAAAATCCTGCATGGGGCTGACCAAGGTCACGTGAAAATGCAAGCCCAAAACGCCTGAAAATATCTGAAGAAAATGAAAGAGACACATTGGCTGCTTAATAAATGACTTGATTTTTGGATTTCTTGAATACCTCACAGGTTTCTTGAATACCTTGTGGGCATAGAAATAAGAGCAGTGACAAAGCTGCAAATAATTGGAATAATTTAATTACTAAATAAAATAATACCAGAAAGAAACTCTTTATCATCTCCAATAACTCATAAACGTTACAAAAAAGTCTATCTTCATCTATGCTGCCAAAATCTCAACACATTCTCACAAGCAAAACTGAACAGAACATATTCTGTCGCTGAAACCTGGATTTATAATAGGAGCAAATGGGCGTACACACAGACACACACACAGTGTATGCCTCAGGACATGGGCACGGGGGCTGCGCTGCACGTACAGGGACCAGTTCTTTGTCTCTTCATGAGGAAAAAAAAAAAAGAAAGAGAAGGAGAGAGGAAAAGAGGAAGAAAAGGAAGGGAGGGAGGGAGGGAGGGGCAGACAGGCAAGGAAGAAGGAAGAAAGGAAGAATGGAAAGAAGGAGTGGGAAGGAAGAAGGGAAAGAAGGATGGAGGGGAAGGAAGGGAGGGAGGGAGGGAGGGGAAGGAAGGGAGGGAGGGAGGGAGGGAGGGAGGGAGGGAGGGGAAGAGAGGGAGGGAAGGAGAGAGGGAGGGACGGAGGGAGGGAGGGAGGGAGGAGTCTGTCTACGGCTGCACCAGCACCAGCATGAATGGGGGTTCTGCAGGGGCTAGTGACCGCCCCGCCCAGTCCCACCTGGACCTGGCTGCTGGTTGCTCCCCCTCCCTCCAAGCCCTGCCCCATCCATCCTGGAGCACTCCTGCCGCCTGTGTGCCCCGTGTGCTCCCTTCACCACTGGGCACCCGCCTTCTGCGGGGCACACCCTGGCTGTGTGTCTCTGCAGAGTTCTGTGTCACTCAGAAGGCACGAGGGACACCGTCTCCCTGGGGCCCTTCCTCCAGCGCCCAGTGCTGAGCAGCGATGCTGGCTGCCCAGTGCTGTCCTGGCACCTGGGCTGATGCCTTTTCCGAGATTCCCTGGGCTGCCCCAGCACACCTTGCACGCACCCCTGTCCCGCCCACAGATGGAAAGATCCCCGGGGCAGGAGCCAGCCTTAATCACCGCCAGGTCCCCTGCTCCTTGAGGTTGTCTACCTGAACTTCCAGAACCTGATGGACAAGGAAGGCAGTGCCCGTGATAAATCAGGTAGCTGACTGGCAATCACCACCTCCTCCCTATTCACTTTACTTAATAAATAGAAGGGCTGTAAAAGCTCAGGGCCTTTGTTCACTAGAAGCAAAGAGCCTCCGGCCCCTTCTTTCAGTAGAAACTTCTGTTTTGTCTTCAGTTCCGCAGGGGCCCTCCTACGTTCATGAGATAACTGTGGTATTCTACCACAGTGCACAGAGGTGACTGTAACATGGCCCCCGAACTTGAAAAGGACTGTCCTTGAAAATTAAACCATAAAACCAGCAGGCAGCTAAATCACAGCTGAATTTCAGAGTAGAGGTCATGAAGGAGATGACCACATCAGGGCCGGGGGGCGGGGGTTGGTGTCGTCCACAGAGGAGGGGTCAGTGCGGCTGTAAAGTCCCCACCTCCAGGGGCCTGGGCAAGGCCACCTCTCCCATTCATGAGGTCCTGGGTCTCCTGACCTAATCACCTCCCAAAGGCCCCACCTCCAGATACCACCCATCCCGTTGGAGCCTGAGGTTTCAATCTTCCCAGCTCCCGCTGTCTTCCACCTAAACTTCCTGATTCTGTTGAACACTTTGGCCTTTTGTGGTGCCCTTTCCAAATCCATCATCGCCTTCCCATCCTAAGAGCACACAGGTTCCCCTTGGGGAGCACCTCCCCCACTGTGAAGCCACCATGTGCCTCCAAGGAGCCATCCCCAGACCCAGAACCCACAAGAGGCTCTGATCGATTCCGCCAAAGGCGCTAATCCCATCACAGGGGCCATGGGTGTCATTCCATCCTGGGCCAGGGGTGGGAGAGTGAGAGAGTGCTTGCCTCAGGTCCCTTGGGCCAGGCTCTGGCTGGACAGGAGCCAGGTAGGGGTCAGAGCTGATCGTCAGAGAAGGGCCAAGCCCAGTTAGAGAGCTGAGCACCTCGCCCACTGCCTTTCAGCTGCATGGGCCATGCCTCTTCTACAGTCACGTCTATCTGGGCCTTTTTTTGCCCCTCGCCATGACGAGCATTCTAATCAACTTAAATCAAGACCAGGAAAACCGAAATATTCAAAAGAGCAACGGGAAACAAATACTAATAAGACACAGCCGGTTCTGAAACGAAAGAATACATCTTCATTAAAGGGAATAAAAGATAATTTGAATAAATGGAGCACAGTACTTTGTTGCTGAATAAAAATAAAATATTGGATATTATTTTTGCTAAATTAATTTGCTATTTAATGTAATTCCAATCAAGATTTCCATGAAGATTGTTCTTAAAATGTGGCAAAAATCATCCCTAAGTTTATTTAGGGGGAAAACACATATATTAACATTTTCAATGTGTAAGTGAAGGATCATAGCGGGAATCTGTCCCACCAGATACCAAACCGTATCCCAAAACTATAGAAATAAAGCCACGGATGCCAGGATAGGAAAACACTCGTGGACCAGGACCAATATCCTAAGAGAGCCTTTGCTCAGCAAGGGATCAAGTTTATAAAACGGCTGGGCACAGTGGCTCAGGCCTGTAATCCCAGCATTTTGGGAGGCCGAGAAGGGCCAGTCACCCAGGTCAGGAGTCGGAATCCAGCCTGGCCAACATGGCGAAACCCTGTCTCTACTAAAATTACGAAAATTAGCCAGGCGCATTGGCGGGTGCCCGTAATTCCAGCTACTCAGGAGGCTGAGGCAGGAGAATCACCTGAACCCGGGAGGCAGAGGTTACAGGGAGTTACAAGACAACGCGGGAGGGTGGATGGTTCCACAAAAGAGATTGGGGAAAGCAGCCTTCGCAGTTAAGATTCAGCTGGATTCCGACTCACACAGGTGCAAAGATACCTTCCAAATCCAACGAAGAGTTAAAGGCCTGAGGCTCGTCAACAATGGACCACACACCGGGGAGCATTTAGCTGGCCTCAGAGGAGAAAGTCAGCCACAGGGGGAGTCACGCAGGAACGCACCTCCTCCCGCGCACACAGGACTGGAGTGAGGACAGAGGCTCCCCGGGCGCTGGGACCGTCCGTCCTGGCGTGGGGTGCTAGTTAGGGGTTTTCTTCTTAAATGTTTTTTTCTTTTTAAAAACTGAAAGGCTGTTTTCTTCACCTTTTCTGATGTATCCTCCTGGTTGCTGCATACACCCTCCGCCCGAGGGACCTGCCCCACCTCATCGCAATGCGCCGGGAGCTTCTCAGACAAGGCTTCCTGGGGCCGTGCTTGGCTCCAGGTGGGACGTCCCGTAGGACGTACAGAATCTGGGAACATGGGCTTGGGGTAGAACCGGGGGAGCTGGTGCAGGGCTCTTCCTCTGTCACCCCTTCTCCTGGAGTCACATGATATTAGATTTTGGAAGGAGGCAGGTTTGAGTTTTACTTTAGATTTTCAACATTACAAAAGGAGAAAAAAATTATCCCAACCTGAAAAAGAAAGGAGAGAGAGAAAGAAATAAAATGTCAGATCTGCAAATGTGCCGCATTCTAAATTATCCGAGCACTTGCTCTAATTAGTATTCCGAGCTAGGGAGAGCAGAAAGTCAAAATCTCCATTTAAATGAAGATCTTCACAGCCCCTGGCGGGGGCCTTCCTGGTACTTCCAGGGTCTGAGGATTCAAGGCCCCAGGTGACCCTGGGCCAGGCTCCCTGTCTCTTGGGAAGGCGGAAGGTGGAAGCCTCAGGGTGGGCTTGCAGGGTGGGCTTGCTTTCTTCGCTAGCTTAGGTGCTCGAGTGAGAGGGCTACCAGGTGGTTCAGGCCGTGAGGCTGAGGTCGTGCCTGCTCGTTGGTAACTGTGGAATTGATTTTGAATGCAGAGAGCTTGGCATTCATTGAGGATCAGTCGATTGCCATGCATGCACAGAAAAGGCTATCCCTTTCAAGGGACTCTGGGGCCCTGTGTGTTTACTCTCCCTCTCTATAGGAACCTGACTAAGGACAGTCCCTGAGACACACTCATCCTCCCCAGGGCCATTGCCCCGAAGCCTCTGCGAACCTTGCTGATGGTTCACATGGGCCCTTCAGGCCATGGTGGGAGGTGCTGGGGTTTGGTCTACAGTGGCTCACGCACTGCCAAGGCGTAGACGCCAACGCAGAGGCGCTGTCACAAGCAGCCCAGAGGACTAGCTGGCTTGGTAAACATTTGAGCCACGCAATCTGGCCGTGGGAGGCCCCAGCTCTGCAGGTGTGCAATCCCTCCAGGATGCACTCAGGCAATGTTCCCTCCTTGCCGGGAGCTCCACACGGAGGTGCCTGTGGGGCACCAGCTGAGCTAAGGTCACCTCATTTCTGTGGTCATGTCCCTCCCCCTCTGTGAGTGACAGGTGAATGACAAGAGTGGCAGTGACAATAGCTGCCCCCCACTGCAGGGTTCCCATGTGGAGGCCCTGCCTGTGTGACCTCCAGTCTTCCCAGCTTCTCAGCAAGTGGGCTTCAGGACCCCCGTTTTCCAAACGGAAAAGCAGAACAACCCTGGCCTTGAGAGGCACTGAATGAGAGACTCATCAAGAGCCACGCAGCGCAGCCCAGAAGGCGTCGGGTATCAGACTTCCAATCCCTGGAACTTCCGCTGCATCCCAGACCTTCCAGTGCCTTCGCAAACAGGCTGAGACCTTTTCTGGAACAAGGAAAATGGTAATAAATACATGCGATGTCGTCGTCTGTGCGCGGGTTGGTCTTGCCCACGTGGAGCCGCGGTTTGCCGAGTGATGATCCCACATCGGGGAACCATGCTCTGTGCTGAGCGTCTGCCTGTCACTTCATCCTCAGGCAGGGATGAGGAAAAAAAAAAAAAAACGCTGCCTTAGGAATGTGGCAACTGGCATGTAACAAGGTTCAGTAAATTCCCCAAATCTCACACCCAGTCCTTCCAGAGCCAGCCTCCAGTGTGCCCACGATCTTGGCCTCCACCTGGGCTCTCCGGGGTATTATACATAAATTCTCGGTGCCGCAGAAGTAGCACTTGAATATAAATTTCATTTACTTCTATAGGAGGGTGCGGCTGACAGATGGAGTCATGGCGAGCTCATACCTGGACAAGGGAGGGGAAGGGGTTCTTATTCCTGATGCAGGTACCCCCTACTGCTCTGTCATTTCCCCTATTGGCCAAGGCTAGACCACACAGTCGAAGCTAATTCCGACTGGCTATTTTAAAGAGAGCAGGGGTAAGAGCCAGAGTGGCGGGGCGGGTAGTTTGATGGGAAGGACAGTTACAGAACAGATCAGTACAGGTGACCGGATCAGGTGACCAGATGAGTCAGGACGGAGCAGGGGACTGATGTGAACTACTGATTAGAACTGGTGAAAAAGGTTGTTTGCCAAAACTACAAGGAAGTTAAACTTTAATATGGAGAATTGAAGAACAAGAGAGCTGAGCGTACTGACACACTGATCCTTTGAAGAGAAACTTGGAGTTCACTGGATCTAACACGGGGCTGTGTGTCCACACTAGAACGATGCAGGCCACGCAGGGTGTCAGGTGTTAGAGCCTGGGCAAGAGCCTGGGCTTCCGTCTCCTCCACAAAACGTTTCCCCTTTTAGCTGCACTGAGCATTCCCGGATACAGGAAGACGTTGGATGTCGGACATACTTTTTTGCTTTTCTTTTGTTAATTGGCAAGGTTCCCACGTTTTCCTACCATCCAACTGACCTTTCCTGCGTCTCTCCCCCAACTCAGTCTCGTTTCACCTGCACAGGCTCTTCTCCGTTCGCCCAGGCCCTGCCTCACATGTCTTAACCTCTCACTCACTCATTCATCTGCTCATTCATTACCTCAGCCAGCCTGTGTGGGCCACCGCCAAGCAGCAGGCTGTTGGCTCCAGATGAAGGGCACTGAGATCAAACCGAACATCAAAGTGTGGGGCAGCAGCAGCACAGGCTTGAAGGCGCCCCTGCCTGGGCGTGCACAGGCCTTTGGGATCTAAACTCAGCCTGCCTTGGAAAAGCTCGGAGCAAAGACAAGGTCACAAAATTCGGACTGGCTTCCGCCTCTTTTTCCATCAGCCACTACTATTTCTCCCACAGGGCCCTGAGCCTCAACCCCACCTGGGCACACAGGGAGCCCTGTCCTCTTTCTGGAGAGCCTTGGGGGTAGGTCCAGATAGAGGCCGGTCCGTGCATTGTGGGAGGAGCCATAGCCATCATCCGAAATGCTTCCTGGCCGCTAGGCCACATCCATGAACAAATCACCACTGATCACTTGTTTATGCAAGATGAGAAAGTCAATCTTTGAGGTTTTTGGCCAAGGCTGGAAGCAGGGCTATTTGTCATATGAGTAGGAAGTTCTGTGTCTGCAGCAGGGCTGAGTTTGAACTGCTCTGATAGGGGAAAACAATCCATTCGGTTAGATACGCTTTGCAGGTCCCTGGCTCCTCCACCTGAGGAAATTGGTTAGGAGACAAGACACTCTTTAGCTCATCCAGAAAGTCTCCAAAGCCTGATCATTTACTAACAAAGGTAGGATTTGAGGCTCTGCAGGGTCTACAGGCAGGTCCACTTCAGACGCCAGCCTTGTGATTCCCTGACAAAACCCTTGGCTCATTGTATTTGGGGGGCTTTACCGCCTGACGGGCCCCCCACCTGGACCCTCACTTTTGCACCCACCCAGGCTGCCGTTGGTGGCCCTGATGTCTCAGAACAGCGGGAGCAGCCTCCCGGGTCCCAGGAGCTGAGTGGTGTTGGTCAAGAGCAGCTCTGAAAAGCGCACACTTGAAGGAAGAGCTGGTAAGTGACTGGGGTCCCTGCGAGGCCTCCACATTCCAGCATTTAGTATACGCACTCAGCACGCGGAACCCTGGACCTCAACCCCACCTGGACACACGGGGACCCCTCTCCTCCTTCCAGAGGGCCTGAGGGTGGGCCCAGATCAAGGCTTTTCTGTGCATTATTGGAGGAGCCTTAGGCATCATCCTAAATGCTTCCTGGCCGCTACGCCACAAATTACCGCTAATCATTTGTTTCCACAAGGTGAGAGAGTCAATGTCTGAGTTTTTTCTCCTGCTGGTGAGGAGTCTAAGAACCGGGCTGCATCTGTAATGATAAGGAAAGGGAACTCACCACAAACTGCTGCCCACAGGAGGAACAGAAGAGTCGGATTCTGGATACGCATATTGTTTTTTATTTCTACACATTAATTTTAATTGTTTTGAAACAATTCAGTTTAGTGCCAAATGCTTTAAAAGTACTTCTCAGAATTGATGTGACTATGAAGTTGGCATTGTGTGTCTCCGTCCCACTGAACAAAAGCATCTATTTAAACATAGTTGGCATCCAGAAATGAAGGCACAAAAGGATCTCACTCCTCAAAGGCAGTGCTCCCTACTGAGGTGCTCTGGAGGGGCTTCCAGGGAGACAGGGAGGGGCTTCTGGGGAGACAGGAAGGGGCTTCTGGGGAGACAGGGAGGGGCTTCCAGGGAGACAGGGAGGGGCTTCTGGGGAGACATGGAGGGGCTTCCAGGCCTGGATGTCCCAAGCACTGAAAGACAGCAAGGAGGAGGGTGGATTTGGGGAACAGGAAAGGGAGTTCTTGTGACATGGTCCTGTCTGCCCGAGCGCAGCTCAGCTTCTGGAAGAATCCATTGCCAAGGCCATAGGGGGAGCTTTGGGTTCAGAGAAAGGCCAGGCAGCCTTCAAGAGACCACAGAGTCAGGACACCACAAGCCACATGGCAGTAGGCATTATTTATCTGTTTTTGAGCTGGGGGATGTGGTCTGGGTGTAGCTCCTGAGGCCAGGAGAGCAGAGGCTCACATGCTCAGGGTCAGCTTCTTCTGGGAACCCAGCCGCGGAGCTGGGAAGAGCCCAGGCCACAGGAAGGGGCCCCAGAAGTGCTCTGGTCCGCAGTCACAGCTGACTCTGGACTTCTCGGCCACCAGCACCCTCTCCACCAGTCACATCCTCCCAGCAGAGGTCCCAGCCTCAATAAGTGGAGGCCGTGACGCCAACGGCAGACCTTCAGAGTCCAGACGTGTTAGACCAGGGTGCCTGCTTCACCGCAGCACACAAGGATCGGCTTGTCACATGGCGGAAGGCAACAGGCCCGCCACCTGCCCCCACGGGCCCAGCACATCTCCTCCCCTGCCTCCCCTCTCCTCTGCCTTGCGCCCGGGGCTCCGGCTGGGGTCAGGAGCAAGTCACGTACATGATGCTGAGGAGGCAGCCTCCATGCTCCCCGGCATCCCGCGTTCCTGCTGGGCCCCTGGGTGGGCATTTGTGATCCCCCACCTGATCTTCTTCCAGCCTTCCTCCTTCCAATCCCCATCCCCACTTCGATGTTCAAAGTGATATCACTGCTATCATCTTCATTTTCTAACACTTGATAATTTAAGAAGTACTTTCAAATATAATAATTCGTTACACAAAGCGAATTTTAGGACAGAGATTCTTATTCAATGTTTATAGAAACACCATGGCTCAAAAAGGCAACATG